ACGGCACCTTTTAACGGTGTCTTTCTTTGAACGAACCCTCCCCCCTCTAACGAGAACAGCTCAATTGCATTGCCAATAAAAATTATCTGAAATTATCGTGAAATTCATATTTTTGTGAAAATATATATAAATGTAATAATATATAAAGTACATATAAATGTAATAATATGTAAATAATGAGAGAGATGGTGTCTTTGTTTATCATACGTGTGTCGCCATTACTTTAGATACTTTAATTGTATTCGAATTCGATGTTCATTCGATGGCTCGTTTTTATATATTTTGTGTCAGGAATTATCTCTGGAGTTGGCTTCTTTCTCTCCCCTTTCTATCTATGCACCAGAAGCTCGTACGACTCGAGTGATTCCATCCCAATGAAATTTATTCTGCAAATTTGTCGCATAAATTCAGTTGTTCGAACGCAAAATAGCCAGCTAGAGTTCAAAGAAAAAAAGAGAAATTGTTGATAAAACTTGCTAACATTAGTAAATCGCTAATCACTGGATAATAAGAAATTAACAGAGGTTAACTGTTTTTAGGTTAGGTTGAACCAAGAAATATAAGAACCAATAATAAGAAATTAACAGAGGTTACTATTTTTAGGTTAGGTTCTGAACCAAGAACGACGAACCGTTCGATTTGTTTATGTTCGTATATTCTGACGCTGTTTTTCTTTTTACCCCATCCCTCAATACTGAATTTCTTTTTCAACGTCTAATCGTCTAAAAGAAAACATTTTAAATTTATTTAAAATTTCACTTTCATTCGTTCACATTCAGTGTTTTGATAGGATTTTTAGCAGTCCATCTTCAGTCCCCACCCTCTCAGGAAAAAATTCGCATTCGTGGCAATTCTTTCTTCTTTCATATGCAAATCGTATACAAAAGATAAAATGAATTAAGTGGAAACCGGTTGACGTTGACACGATGGGGGGGGGGGGGGGATGCAAAATTTGGCGGAAAGATTTAACCTGTCGAATCTGTCAACATTGTGTTACGCAAGAGCGGGTTTCCTGTTTGCGGAAATTTATCATGCAAAGTAGGCCAGTCGATAAAATATCGAAAAATTTGTCCAAAATTGTCAATATATCCACAACATTAATAGTTTACATCGTTGTAACGTGACTCTGTTTCTTTTTTTTTTTTTGCGAGTCTATTTTATTTAAAAACATTTTGTTAAATGTAATGTTTAATTTTTGTTAAATGTAAATATATCTAATATTTTGTTAAAAATATCGAATATCAAAAATCGTGACAATTAAGTCTCTTCTTAGTTACGAAACTAAGAAGAGAAAAGGAAACAATTTGCGATACACAGCTTTTTGTTATAGGATAACATAATATACGTATAACACATATTATATTATAATAAATTATATAATATTTAATATTTAATTAAAATATTTATATTTAATATTTAAGTTATATAATGTTTAATATAAATTTAATATTTAATATTTAAATTATATAATATTTAATATAAATTTCATATAAAATTACATATTATATTTTCGATATCACGTGTAATAATTTAGCCGTTCGATCGTTCTATTTACAAATGAAGAAAGAAAGAAAGAAAAAAACTCGCAAGTGCAAAGATCGAGCGTGTCCCGTCAACAAACATAAAAAATTCCTCCGAGAGGATGTTCGAAAACGCGTCGGTATTTTCAAATACCGAGAAACAAAAGGCAAGCTCTTCTGAATTGTACGAGCCGTAGTTGCATGGCACGTTTCGGGTGTGATTCAACGAAGTCGAAGCGAGCGTTGCAAAGCGAGTGCAACGTATATATATTCGCCGGCTGTTTTCTTGCTTCTCGTTCCTCGTGGTACGCGTACACGCCGTCTTTAAAGCTCGGAATAGATTTAGGAAGCGTCGAGCTATGCGACGAGCCTTTGCCAAGTCTCTTGGTACATGAATGAGTTAGTTGCATGTGCGTACACGTGCTGCGCTAATTTATAGCATCGCGACGAATGAAGCCGGCCCTCGCCGAGCACGAAAATTGCAGATCCTACAGGATCTCCTCGTCGTAGCGAAACGTTTTGGTCGCTCGTGAACTATCAAAGTGATCTATCGATAGTGTCTGGCTGTTGATTAATCGATTACACGCTTATTAAAATCGTCGTGATCGTACCACACGATCTAATGATTCATGGTATTTATTATGATATTACATTATAAATGTATTGTATAATAATATTTACAAATAATGAGAACTTGAAACGATATTTATGGTTATTTGTTAAATTGTCGAATTTAAAAAACCGTTCCAAATAATTTATGATACTTGTGATATTAATACTATAAATGTATGAACAATAATATTTGCAAATAATGAGAAATTGAAATGATATTTATGGTTATTTATTAAATTGTCGAATGTATGTGCAATAATATTTACAAACAATCACAAATTGAAACGATATTTATGGTTATTTGTTAAATTGTCGAATTTAAAAACCGTTCCAAATAATTTATGGTATTTGTGATATTAATACTATAAATGTATGAACAATAATATTTGCAAATAATGAGAAATTGAAATGATATTTATGGTTATTTATTAAATTGTCGAATGTATGTGCAATAATATTTACAAACAATCACAAATTGAAACGATATTTATGGTTATTTGTTAAATTGTCGAATTTAAAAACCGTTCCAAATAATTTATGGTATTTGTGATATTAATACTATAAATGTATGAACAATAATATTTGCAAATAATGAGAAATTGAAATGATATTTATGGTTATTTATTAAATTGTCGAATGTATGTGCAATAATATTTATAAATAATCCGAAATTGAAATAATACTTATGGTTATTTATTAAATTGTCGAATTTAAAAATCGTTCCACACGATTCATGGTATTTATATTATACTATAATAATATTTACAAATAATGAGAAATTGAAATAATATTTATGGTTATTTATTAAATTGTCGAATGTATGTGCAATAATATTTACAAATAATCAGAAATTGAAATAATATTTATGGTTATTTATTAAATTGTCGAATTTAAAAATCGTTCCACACGATTCATGGTATTTATATTATACTATAATAATATTTACACATAATGAGAAATTGAAATGACATTTATTTATAGTTATTTGTAATTGTCGAATTAAAAAATCCATTCCACATGATCTATCGTGGTATTTATGATATTATACTATGAATGTATGTACAACAATATTTGCGAATAATGTGATAATATTGCGAGATTGTGATAATATTCACGTTGGTTATTTATTATGCGAAATTGTGATAATATTCATGTTGGTTATTTATTAAATTGTCGAATTTAAAAGTGAAAAAGACTGTTCAGGCGAGTACGAATCGAAACGCAGTTGCTCGCACGTATCGAAGCCATCGCCACTCCAGAGAGGCATTCCGCTAATCTTAGGCGAGAACGTAGTCATTCAGTCGGAGGTTCTGTTCGCATGTAGAACAGAATGGTCAAGGGGAGAGCTTTGTCGTCTGCACCATAGAGACGCGAGGAATTGCTGTGCTTCTGTGAATGTTAACCAGAATGAAAGTTTCGAAATCGTGCAACCGCTCGGAAATCGATTCCTCCTTGTACTTTGTACGGCTTCTTTAGGGCAAAGTGTAAAAATATTTACCGGAGAATTTGTTGCCAATAGGCTGTTTCGAAGAAATCTGTCTTTTAGGTCGTATTGATTTAGGATGTCGTTTCGAAATGATATACGTAGGGTACTTGTCTCAGGTCATGTATATTTGTTTCAGAACTGGTACATGTAAATTAATAATTTCGAGGTTAGAAAAGAAATAGAGTCTATTTTAAAAGATAAACAATTCTTTCGTAACTTCGGTGGTAGAAGAATTAGGTAATACTTTATGCAATAAAAAAATCTGTAAAATATTAATATTTTCACTAGTTGCATTGTAAAGTACGCGTGAAATTAAATATATCAATCAAATATTAAGTTATATATGTATTATTTATTTATAGTTATATATAATTTATATTTTTCATTTCAAATTTTAAATATATATTAAATCAAGTATATGTGTATACGCGCAGCTAATTAAAATTCGAATTTGAAAAGATCAGATTCCTACTTTGCTCGAAATTTATATTTCTATTTGCTCAATCATTTATATTTCTTTTTTCTTGTAAACTTTCCTCTATTCCTTTCAATTGTTCTATTATACTAGGAATCATTAGGATAAACGTCCTTAAGTAAAATATCCTTAAACCTCGGATAATGAACACTCGAGAACATAATTATACTGAACCATCTTTTTATAGAGCAATAACATTTGCTCCATTGACAAATATTTTCATTGTAAGTTAATTTTTTATATTAACTTCCTCTTTTTTGAATATTGAATTTTGAAATTATTTTGCAAATACTATTGTATTTCTATAGGGTGGTCACTGAAAGACTGAATGGGTATAAGACAAAAATAACTTTCACAAACACGTGTTCTTCTTTTTTTGAATATTGAATTTTGAAATTATTTTGCAAATACTATTGTATTTCTATAGGATGGTCACTGAAAGACTGAATGGGTATAAGACAAAAATAACTTTCACAAACATGTGTTCTTCTTTTTTTGAATATTGAATTTTAAAATTATTTTGCAAATACTATTGTATTTCTATAAGGTGGTCACTGAAAGACTGAATGGGTATAAGACAAAAATAACTTTCACAAACATGTGTTCTTCTTTTTTTGAATATTGAATTTTAAAATTATTTTGCAAATACTATTGTATTTCTATAGGGTGGTCACTGAAAGACTGAATGGTATAACTTTTACAAACACATGTGTTTTTTTCAATTTTTTATTATTTAATACAGCAATAAAACAACAACAATAAAAAAACGATTGAAAATGAGCAAATCCTGGCCACTCTGCACCACGATATTTTACAAATGATGACAGAGGAGAGCTTTCAGTTACATTCTGAGCAACAGATCTTTTTGCTGTTATTTTTAAAAATGACCTCGATCTCGTGTTTTCAGAGGAGGAACCGCTGGAGAACAATAGGACGAACGGGAATCACTCGACTAGTTCTCGAGGAAGTCCCGTGATCTCAAGCACGCGAGTAACGCCACCTTCGGTAAACGTGAACTCGGCTCATCTGACCACTCTACACTCCGCGTCACATCACCATTTGCCTCATCATCAACAACAACAGCAACAACAACAGCAGCAGCAACAGCAACAGCAGCAACAGCAACAGCAACAACAACAGCCGCCGCAGCAGCAGCAACAGCAACAGCAGCAACAGCAACAGCAGCAGCAGCAGCAGCAGCAGCATCACCATCATCATCACCATCATCATCATCATCACAACAATCATAACAGCACGCATAACCCTTACGTGGAAAATCATAATTCAAATCACTCGCAACAGAACGCGGGCAATCTCATCGTCGACGTTGAATCGAGCCACGACAATAAGAAGCACCGGAACGGGTAAGGACAGTTGTAATTATTTTTTATCTCGTTTTTTTTGTATGTATACTGACTCGATGTTGTGTTTTATTTGTGCGGCAAAATCCGATAGGATAAGTTCTGTTTTCTTTTTTTTTTTTTAATCTCGCGGTTAATTTATAAGATCAGTGATATATCAGGTGTATTGCGATTATTCTGAATTAGCCTTGTTATACTTTCTGCACTTCTAACCTACGCAATTAACATAATTAGACGCTATTGTACTTATGTCACATTTAAAAAGAAATAAATGATTAACACGTTCTGCGGCTAGGTGAAAAGGTGAACGTTCCTTCGGTCAGTATTTCGTGAAGTTCAATTGGAGGGGGAAAGTGAACATTATTTCCTCCAGCATATTTTTATCATATTTTAGAGAAAGATTTGCCTTTGCTGAGATTGTCAGAACGTGTTAATACGTTTGTCAAATATCATATCGATAAAATCATTTTATTATATATATATATATATATATATATATATATATATATATACATATACATATACATATATATAAATAACCTGCAATTAACATTAAAATAAAGCGAGCGTTACTTTTTTTATTATAATGCAAAATACAACACATCTACACTTATTTCTCAAGAGCTTAATTTTGATCTCTCTTCCCTGTTTATTCATCATATCCCTTGTTGTGACGCGCCAAAATTCAAAACTGAGGGAACGACACCGGTTTTCTTTTTTTTTTTTTGCACGATATACAAGAATCCTTTTCGAACACCTCCTCTATTCACTTGACCTCTCCCCGGCAACAGCGGCAGTTATATTTCCTTTCTTATGGTCGCTGCTTCTTTCCAACTCTCGGTGTCGCCAACTCCGCTTCCTTCTCTCTACGTTTTTCCGTCTTCCTTCTGGCTGCCGATATGTCAGCCTGTTGCTTCGCGCGTTCTCTCCCTCTCCGTCTTGTCCGTTCTCTCTTTTCTCGATGTACGGGGCAGCAGGAGAGCGTCGAGGCAAGAGAGTCTCCGCTACCCATTCACGCGGTACACGTGCCCAGGGTGAATGGCACGTGCGTCACTTCACCACGTCGTGAGACCGAGACGACGAGTGCTAAACGCGTCGCTATACCAGTGCACGCGCACCACACGTCCATGTCCTCCCGCTCTTATTACAGATTATCGTAATTTGTCCGTCACCTTCCGATTTACCCTTTAACCTGTTAAACTGCGTCCGACGAGTACGTTGTTCGCGCCACGTGGAAAATGCTATCTGAAATTGAAAATTTTAGGAGCTTACGTTTTGGAATATTTGGAGATTATGTAAAAATAAAAGAAATTTGTTTGAGAAACGTTTAAAATTGTGAATTTTCAAAATTCATCTTCAGACTGTTTGTTCGTAATGCAGTATCATTTTTTGAGAATTTCATCTTCATGAGAAGAGGGTCTTAAACGAAGAAATTTCTCAGTTGTAAATTTTTTTGCAAATGTTTGTCAATTGTGAATTATTTGTAATTTGTAATAACATAAAACAATTTCTCATAATTCTATAAGTGATAAGTTTTCAGGATTATTGTTTTTTATATATATATATATATATATATATATATATATATATATATATATATATATATATATATATATATATATATATATAT